GTGGGGAATCCCCAGGGCAGGGCGCCTGGCTTCAGTGGACGTGCTTGGGCTGGGGGGTTCCTCTGGTCAGCAGGGGCATCTTGGTCCCTAGAATGGGAGACTTTGAACCCTCCCCGGGAAGGGGAGTCCGAGCTCCCCAAGGCGCCTCTCATCCGAGGGTCATTGACCCCAAATGACGAATGTCTGCCTCCTCCTCCTCCCCCACGAGCAGGGCGGCCCGGCCCCCCGCCCCCCGCTCGCTCCCGCCCCCCACCCCTGGGAGGTGCGCCTGGCAGCTCCAGGCCGAATTTCCTGGCACTCGGCTGAGAATAAACAGCGCTCCCCGCCTGTAATCCCGTTGCCATGACGACGCGCTCGCGGGCGGCGGGGCGGGACAGAGCCCAGGAGGGGCGTGGCCTTCTGCGGAGAGGCGTGTGTCCATCCTCGGAGGGGCGTGGTTAAGGGCGTGATCTGCTCCTGCGGGGCGGGGCCTCGGCGCGCACGCTCGCTAGGCCCGCGGGTCCCGGTGCCGCCCCCCCGGCCGGGCTCGGCGTGGACATTCCTCGCATAGCTCCGCCGGGGCTCCCGCGGTGTCCGGGAAGTGACTCTTCCTGGCAGTGGCCGGCCTCGCGGCGACGCTCCCTCCCGCCTGGGGATGCTCCGAAATGACCGGGGTGTGTGTGTGTGTGTGTGTGTGTGTGTGTGCGCGCGCGCGTGTGTGTGCAGGGCAGCTCCCCAAGCGTCCTGCGCCCCCAGCCCGCGCTTGGACCTTGCACAACACACCCATCTGCAGACTGATCTCGGTTAACGACGCTCGCTGCCTGGCACCCGGCCGCGCCCCCCACCTCGGCGGCCGCCTGCTCCCTCTCGGGGCCTCCTTCCTGCCCCCCGCTGAGCTGGCCCAGGGGTTCCCACTCCAGGCGTCGCCTTGTCCAGCGGCCAGCACAAAGCCGCCAGGGGCAGAGGAGGATCCCTGGCGGGACGGGACGACTCTTGCACTACAGAAGTGGGGTGATGCAGCTAGCAAGCTCCGCCCCTTGCTGGCAGTGGGTACGCCAACTCTACTCTTAAACCTGCAGAGCCTGGGGCAGGGGTACTGGCCCTAACCCACTATCAACTCCAGGAGGAGGGGGACAGGGTAGGGCCCCGGAGGCTTCGCCAAGGCTGCCATCCTTAAAGAAGCCCATGCTTCAGCCTCCCCCCAGGAGTTTCTGGTGGGTTCCACGGCCAGCCTTTTTGTTTAGCAGGCGAACGCTTTAACCACATGGCTTGTTGTGTACCGGACCCTCTGGCAGTTATTCGCACCGGAGGAAGAGGAGGAGATTGCCCATTCTTCTTCTCTAGAGCAGCTGGTGGACTTGAACTGTGTGCCTTCCGAACTGCAGCGCAGACTCTTGCCACCAGAGCACCTCACTGGAGCTCTAAACTGAATGGGCGATCAACTCTATGTGACCACCAGTCGGTTTCCTGGGCTGAAAGTCCTTAAAGAGAGGAGACTCGCTCTCTGCTCTCTCTTGGATGGCTGGGTGGAACGATGCCACCAGGCTCCTTCAGGGAATTGTCCCTGGTGGTGCTGAGCATTACTTAAGCATGTCGGGCAGAGGGGCACCCCACCTCCAGCTCCAGTGGCCAGCCCTAAGCTGTTGGGAAGAGGGGTCTTTCCCTGGGAACTGAACCAGTGTCCAGTAGGAAGAGAAAGCCTCCTTGAGTGAGGCCCCAGGGAAACATCAGGAGATGGCTTCCTCTGGGCCTCACTTTCCCTGTGTGTAGAGCCAGGGCTTGGTCCAGCGGTCTGCCTACCCCGTCTTCCCAGACACAACATTCCACATCCAAAGGGCAAGATGGACCACTTCCCTGAGGCTGAGAAGGCCAGGCCCAGCTCCCATGAAAGCAGAGCACCCGACTAAATAGCTGTGTCCTGCTGATGGCCAGGGGAGACTCTGAGCAGAACGTGTCACTGATGTGTACTGTCTTCAGTCACAGGCGATGCTACCTCGCTCCTAGTGTGTGGACATTGGACATTGGGTGGCTGGGAGGTGTCTGAACCTTCCTGGGCTTGCACAGGACCTGCTGGGGGAAGAGAGTTGCTGATAAACCCACGTCATATTCTGTGCACTCTGACCACCCGTGAAGCAAGTGTTTCAATTAGCCACAAGCCATGAGTTAACCCACTGGCCTGGGGGGTCCCCAGGATCTCATCCTTGGGGCTCCCCTCTGTTTCTCTTCTCTGCTCTGAATGGTCTGGCTTCCCAGTGCTCAAGCTGAAAGATCCCTCATTCTCCCAACACTGAGTTTGGTGTCTGACCACTTCTAACCACTTTAGCTAATTTCCCCCAAAGTCCAGGGAATGGGAAAGAAAAATGACTACATTTATTTACTCTCCAAGGTACGTTATGCACAGAGTCCAGGAGGAGCTCAATGGTTGTTGGGAAAGAGCTCTGGACTGTTGCAGGCAGAGGGGCTCAGAGAAGGAACAGGGAAGGCTCTCGTCCCCCAGCTGCTGGCTGGGGGTGGCAAGTAGAAGCATGGGGGGGAATGGAGTGGACAGGTGTAGAAGTCACTGAAGTATTGTTTTTTAGCAGAAATCTAATGCTGGAACCCCAGGGTGGAGATCTCATATTCAGGGGTCCACCGTGGACACACATTTAGCATCTGGGTTTGAGGAATGGTGCCCTGTTGGCTGGGTTTTTGAGGATCACTTCAACTGCAAAAGTCTGGCTGTTTTGAGTTTGGATTCAGTCCTGGCTCTCACATTCCCAGGAGATATGTCCTTGGGCACATTGCTTAACGTCCCTGCACCCTGGTCCATCACTGCCACCATTCAGTCAACAAATATTTACCGAGCCCCATTCTAGGCACCAGGGTGACCCCTCTGTGTCCGCTCACTCAAGCCCTCAGCTCCTGGGACAGAGAACTTGGGCAAAGGCACCTGTCTTTGGGAGTTGAAGCAGGTAGCCTCGAAATGCCAAAGGCTGGGGCTGCCTAAAAATAGTGTTGACTGGGAGGGGGAGGCCCTGTTGAGGGCTCAGGCGGGGCCCCAAGGAATGTGGGAGGTGTAGGGAAGAGCTGGGGATGAAAGCTGGTCCCACCTGCCCGCCGCCTTGGCAGCTGGCAACAGTCTGCCCTGCCCCCATTTCCCACGAACCCTGCTGTGAAATCTCGGGGTCACCAGCAGGACCCAGTCGTCTGAGCTTTCTCGGAACACCTCCCAGCTCGGGGAGCCAGAGCGCCTAATAGCTTGGAGCCTCTAAAAGCTTTGACCACATCTCGGCTGGCTCCCTGCAAGCCCGTTGACGCGCTTCCTTCCAACTTGCTTTGCATATTCTGGTTAGATCTGAATCACACTGGCAGGAATTACCCCTCGTGCGGCAGTCAAGGTGGCGGCCTCAGCTTGTCAGGGACGCACAGGGGCGGTCCTGACGCGTAAGAGGGCAGTTCCCACTCCCTGTGGCTCCCCCACCCTCACTTTGGAGGCACCCCATGTAGATGAAAGGAAAAGGGGGAGGGCGGGTAAAGAAAGGGCAAGTCATGATTTTCATTAAAAAATAGTGCTCTTTATTATAAATTACTGAAATGTTTCTTTTCTGAATATAAATATAAATATGTGCAAAGTTTGACTCGGATTGGTATTTTGTTGAGTTCTTCAAGCATCTCTGAACAGCCTGGAAGGCCTGGGGGGAGGGGATGGGACTGGAGGTGGAATCTTTATAAAAGAGTGAGGCAGATTGTAAACATTATTCAAAGAAAACAAAACAAAAATAAAACCCAAAACAAACAAAAAACAGAATAAAACAAAACAAAAAAAACACCCCAGTACACAGTTTCCCCCCATCCAGCCCCAATATCTGACACAGAAAATTTTGTGTGGGTCTGTTCCCTTCTTCCCCCTAAAAAATAAAACAACAAAAAAACACAACACAGTTCCAGGTAATTCCTGTAGATTTCACCCATCAGAGCTCCTGCAGATTGGGGGGGTGGGGGGCAGTAGAGAGTGCAGCAAGAGTGGAGACTGCCTTCCTGCCCAGCCTGAGGGTCTAGGGAGTCCGAGTGGCTCTGCCGGGAGTGACTGGCCACTAAGACTGGGCTAACATCCAAAGTAACTGCTACCCTCCTGATTGCTTAGCGGAGGGCCTGGGTTCTGCCCGCCAACCCTCTCCTGGGGAGGACTGAACGTGGGACACTCATGGGAACTGGTTGCCCCCTCTGGGCCTGGCTGGTGGCACGGTAGCTGTGTTATCATCTCAATCTAGGGGACAGGGAGCGTTTTTAAGGCAAATCTCCTAACCAGACAAAGTCAGGAGGTGCCAGCAGAAACCCCTCCCCACTCTATTAGGGGTCAAAGGTGGCTCGCTCCCCTCCCCCAGGTGCTGGGAGATTCAACTTCCTGGGAAAGAACTGGCCAGTGCCCCACCAAATGCACTTCTCCCTTAAAACAGGGAAAGGTCCCAGAGCTCCATGACCAGTATATTTCCTGCGATTGTCCCCAGAGAGAGAGCGAGGGGTCAGAGCCCAGGAGGACTGCCCGAAAGGCGATGGTAACCTCCTGGCCTGTCCTGCACTTCTCCTCAGAGCCAGGAGAGCACGCACCTTCCTCACCGCGCGCAGCGGTCGCACCCACCCACCTGCAGCAGAAGGTTTCCATTGCCTTGGGCAGCTGGAAGCCCTGGGCCCCCCAGGCCCACTTCCCACCAAATCAAAGAGCAAACAAGTTCCTCCAGAAAAGTGTGAAAATTCCCTGGCAAGTCTCAGAGTTCAGCTCCCCCGGCAGCCTCCCCAGTTCCGAATCGCAGGGAGAACGCGGGAAGGTAAGAAAGAGAATCCACTTGTCGCTGCTATAGTCCCACCAGGCTTCTCTGGAGAGCTGGAGTGGGGGAGGGGAGGTCAGGTGGCATCCCCCTCCGGTCAAACACATTCCAGGGCCACGGCCTCAGCTCCACTCCGGGTCACGCAGCGCGGTGGACCTCGGCAGGCCCAATTTTTGTGCTTGTGCCTTGTGCCAGAGGGCCCTTGCCCTTGGCTCTTTAAAGGGGGGCGTCGTACTGGTCCAGGAACTCCCGTATGGGCCCAGGCAGTTGGGTGACCTTCTCGTAAGAGTCCAAGTGGCCATTGACTGTCTTCCGACAGAGATGCTGGAGGGTAGCCACGCTGGAGGAAAGCGGCCGGCTCAACACCAAGGGAATCTTCTCACCCCCGGAGTAGATGTAATAGGCTCTCCTGGGCGCGCTCCCCGGAGACTGCTGGGCAGGCGGCTGCTCCGGCTCCTCGGACGAGGGCGAGGCGGGCTCCGGCGGGGGCACCGGGGGCGGCATGTAGTGGTGCACCAGTTTAAGCACGCAGTCGAAACGGGGCACAGGCTGCGTGCTCCGTGGGTCGCTCTGCAGCGAGAAGCTGCCTCCCTCGCACTGGATGCGCAGGTTCTTGGTCCCCGACTGGGTCTTGACGCTGAGTGTGAAGAAGTGACGCTGGTCGGAGCTGTCACGGATGAGGAAGGTGCCGGCGGGCTCCGCGCTGAGCAGCAGGTTCGCCTCGCCGCCAGTCACCGCGCTCCAGTAGAAGCCGCTCTCCTGCAGCTTACGCACGGCGTTCACCACCAGCTGGTACTCGCTCTTGGAGCTGAAGGTCTTGAGGCGCAGGCTGGTGTCCAGGGGGCGGCTCATCCCGGCGGCGGGAAACTTGCTGTGGGTGACCATGGCGCACGGAGCCAGCGTGGGTCTGCGCGGCGGCGGCTGCAGCTGCTTGGCGGCCTCCGCACAGCGGCCGCTACCGCATCCCGGGGGGCTGCAGGGAGGAAAGCGCGCCGTTGAGTGCCCAACTCTGCCCGCGTGCCAGCCTGCACCCTGCACCCTGGGGCCCCGCCGCGCCCCGCCCGGAGGCGCCCCTCCCCTCCCGCAGGGGGTCTCGGGCCACCCCTTCCCTCAGGCGCACGGAGGTGGAAAACTGGAGCGAGCGCGGAAGTTGGGTGTCCCGGAGCGCGGCCGGAGTGGGAAGTGGGAGAAGGGCCCCCCTCCCCGCCCCGGGACGCTCGGGCGCCATTCAGTCCAGTGGCCCCCGGCGATGGGGACAGAGGGTGAAACCCGAGGTAGGGCGGAGGGCAGAGAGAAGCCGCGGCCCCAGCCTGGGCATTCCGGGAACCTGGACTCCCCGGCGTCCATCCGCCCTGCGCTGAACCTCGTCCCCTCCCTGCCGGGAAGGACCCGGGAAAGGGAGGGGAAGCCGGGAAAAAGCGCCCGGGACCAGCTGGATTCCCCCCAGCCCCCTCGCCGCGCCCCTCCTGCCTACCTGGTCCCACACTGAAGTGTCCGGCCCCGGCGGCTCTTCTACTGCTTCCAGGCCAGCGGCGGCCAGCGGTGCCCGCGCGGTGCCCAGATGTTGGCGGCCGGGAAGTCCACAAAGGGGCCGGGCGCGC